AGGTCTCACCAAGTTGCCTGGGCTGGTCTCGAACCCATGGGCTCAGGCAATCCACTCACCTCGGCCTCCCAAAGTACTGGGATTGCAGGCTGAGTCACTGAGCATGGCCTGTGCTGAGATTTTAATTGATCTCCAAACATACACTGAAAGTTCCTGTTTGGACTAGATCTGTACTTTGCCTTCTCAACAGTTTCTTATTAAAGTTGAATGTAAAAAAAAAAATTAAGTGTTCTCATTAAGACATAGAACTTGGCACCTGGAAGCGGTCTTAGAAATGATTGAGTCTGTTTTCTTCACACAGTTAAGTATTTAACTCAGCAGGTTAGAGCTTTAGCTGGGATAAGAGCTCAGACTTATGAGGCTTCATCTAATGTTCTATAGAAGTATCCCGAGACTCTTATTTTTATTATTGCCTATGGAAGACGAAATCTAATTTTGACTAAATGCCTTCAGATATGCTTGCCTGAACCTGAACCCTGGTATTATTAAAGTACAGGCATTCAAGGAGCATTTCTAGAGAGTAACAAGCTGTAGAAAATGGTTTCAGAAATATGTTAGATATTTATGGGAGAAGGTTCTCACATTTGCAGAAACATTACAAGCCTATTGTGCTTTCCCAAGTGATTTAAACATAAGTGAACTAATCTAAGAATACTGAGAATACTAATCATCTGTGTTTCTTCTTAGAGCATGTATTTTTTAGTGACTGGAGACTGGGTGCTATTATTCAAGTCAGGAAAACAGATGGTGGAGATATGACAGTTATCCGAAGTGGTATTTCTAATGTATTACATTTGAAATCATACGATATCAACATCCAAACTGGTGAGTGAGATGCCCAGTTTTTATATGAATGTATTTATGTAATATGGAGCCTCCTCTTCTTTTTAATTGCTTATTACTTAAAGACATAGCTCCTGGTAGTTTTATATTCTTGTCACCCACATAATTTAATAACGTTAAGACTTTCAGTCACTCTTCAATGCTGTTAACCCCAAAAGTGTTGTCAGGAAAAACACATTTTAGAACTTTTCTGTATCTAAATGGAATGTTGTATTTGGCAGGACGATTTCCAAGGTGCAGCTGCTTTTTAGTATTTGGGCCTGAAAAATATTGTTTCCCATTTGTTTTCCTTCTCAAATCAAGCCTAACATCAAGGAAATGTGCGTACCTTATTACCTCAGGGCTCTGCTTTTGCAGGTTCTAACTCCTGTAATCGACCCACTCATCCTAACGGCGACTGCAGCCACTTCTGCTTCCCACTGCCAGACTTCCAGCGGGTGTGTGGGTGCCCTTATGGAATGAGACTGACTTCCAATCACTTGACATGCGAGGGGAACCCAACCGATGAACCACCCACGGAGCAGTGTGGTGCATTTTCCTTCCCCTGTGCAAACGGCAGATGTGTGCCCATTTACTACCGCTGTGATGGAGTTGATGACTGTCATGATAACAGTGACGAACATCTCTGTGGCACATCTAGTAAGTAACTATGCACTGCAGATATTTTCTGGAATGAACAGACTAGAGAGAGGTGGGCTTTTAAAACATATATAAAAGCGTGCATTATTTATATGGGAAAAGATATCTTTTAGAATTGCAAATTCTTAGTGTGTACTCCAATGGCTTTTAGGAAGCTGAGCAATAAACTTCATGTATAATATTATGTATGATTCTGGCATTGATTTAGATTATCTTCAACAGAATTTCTTTTTGACATTGGCTGTTTGGACCAATGAAGTAATGACTCCATTGCCATTGTCTCCATCGTCACATCTTGGCAAGCTCCTCAAAAAGTCAAAATAAACTGGACGTAGTATTTAGTGTCTGAGAGAGTAGTGTCACAGAATTGCTCTTGCAATCATAGCCTTTGAAAATCTCATGTGCTTTATTCCTCCCCTCTCTTTTTATAGTAATATAAATTAAGGGTGAAATGGCAGTCTGAACCTTTATATTCTTCTTTTGATGGTAATCTAGTCTATGTTTGAGGTCTAATAAATGCTAGCACAGAAGGCAAAAATATTACATTCAAATAAAAAAATAAGATAGAGGACAGTTGTAATCTCAAAAAAAACTATCTAGGTGAGATTAACAGTAATAAATCTGTCTTTTTGGAGACAAAGAGGAGTGACAAATTTGAAAAATAAAAGTGTTCACTTGCATTTTTTTGAAAATTTAAAAATTTTCATCTTTTTGTGTATCATCTTCTTGTTTCTAAGAAATGTAAATTTCTACCTGAATATTTTATCTATTTGCATTTTTATAAAATCTGACAACCTATTGATGTTTTAATGTTTGATGTTTCTATAGTCTGAATTTGTAATTGCAATTGGAGGAAGTACAGCTTAGAAGTTAAGAATGAGCTTTGAATCACTCTGGCCAGAACTTGAGTCTTAGACAGATTCCTAAATCTCTCAAAGTCTCAATTTCCTTATGTGCAAAATGCAGATAATTATGTGTACTTTTTAGTACTCCTGAGAAGGTTTAAAAATAATACGTATATAAGATACATATATATAAACCCAGAAAAGTGTCTTTTATATGATAAATGCTAAATAAAGATCAGCAATGATGATGAGGAGGAGGGTGATGATGGCATCACTTGATGCACTTTTCTCCTTATTTTGTACAATACTCCCACTGAAAAAAGGTGAAGACCTGGGTCTTTGCAAAGCAGGAACTCATTTAAAAGGCTGTAAAAACAAATGTCTTCATGATTAATTTGTTGCTGTTGCAGATAGCACCTGTTCATCTTCGGCGTTCACCTGTGGCCACGGAGGAACATGCATCCCTGCACACTGGCGCTGTGACAACCACAACGACTGTGTGGATGGAAGTGATGAGCAGAACTGTCCATCCCGGTCACCTGCTTCCTGCCCTGAGACCCACTTCACCTGTGATAATGGACAGTGTGTCCCAAAGCACTGGCTCTGCGACACAGACAATGACTGTGGAGATGGATCTGATGAGAGGGACTGCCGTAAGTTTTAAACTGGCTTTTCTTGATTGGTCAGTCAAGTAAATAGATTTGAACAACCAAAAGGCCTTGCACTCTTTCCTCTAAGGCTAACAAAGTTGTTTCTGCCTCTCAGGCACTTCTAGTCTACCTATCAATCTCTGTATCAATAGGCTATAAGAACAAAGGAGTATGCCTACACATGGGATGCTTAGAGTACTCCCACACGTTGAATTCTGTGGAAGCAAAACAAAGAAAACAAGAACTGTCTCTGATGCCAAACATCCAGATAGAAATGGAAAAATAAAAAACTCTCAACTATCTACTTAAATATTTAAAATAATTTTTAAAAAATTATGTAAACATATCAGATCTTTGGCTATTGTTTTTTTCTTTTCATTTGATACAGGCAAAAAGGCAACCAAAGAGAGACACAAAATTAAAATTTCCATTAATCCTATACACCTGCTTTTCACGTTGCCAGTTCTGATTTCCTTTAGGTTGTTATTTTTATGTCTTCAATAGTAGTTTAAGGTGGAGCAAAGTTCCCTGGAGTAAGTTCTGGTCCTGGTTGCATGACTAGGCAAGTTACTTCCTTCTGGAATGGATGAACTTGAAGATCCTTTAAGATCACTTTAGCTTTCATAGTCTATGAATCTGTATTTAATAAAGCTTCATGTGGTGAATGGGGTAGTTGGTGCATCTGACTCCAAGCCTATGGTCTCATCAGCAAGGTAGGACCCTGGTTTTTGGAATTGTTCTGTTCAGACTTTGGATTAAATTCAGTCTTGATGATCTGCCCCCACACAATTGCTAATAGGCATGTGGGTCATGCTGACCATGCTGCCTAATTGGGCTCCATTGCTTAGCTTTGGTCTAAAGTCACTGACTTCATAGTATCCGTGAGAGGTAGTCACAGTTCAAGCACACAATGCTCATATTTTTTATTTTAGCTTTTTTATTGATTACAGTTGTGAGCACATCAACACTTTTAATTCCACATTAACTCTTTAAAATGAAGGTATTTATAAGGCTAAATTGTAAACTGGAGGAATTCTTATTGCTTGAACATTTGCAATGGCAAATTCACTTAAACAAATTAAAATTGTTTTCTCTGTATATAGTACACATAATTTTTTATTTGGACTCATAGCAGTAGTCCCCCCTTTTCTTCAGGGGATATGTTCCAAGACCCCCAGTGGAGGCCTGAAACTGTGGATAGTACTGAACACTATATATAACTATGTTTTTTCCTATGCATATATATCTTTTTTTTTTTTTGTCAGAGTCTCTGTTGCCCAGGCTAGAGTGCAGTGGCATGCTCACGATCACTACAGCCTCGACCTGCTGGGCTCAGGAGATCCTCCCACCTCAAATTTCCAAGGAACTGGAACCACAGGCATTTTGCCACCACACCCAGCTAATTTTTGGATTTGTTGTAGAGAGAAGGTCTTGCCAAGTTGCCCAAGCTTGTGTTGAACTCCTGGGCTCGCAATCCTCTTGCCTTGGCCTCCCAATGTGCTGGGATTACAGGCGTGAGCAACTGCGCCTGGCCTGCATACATATCTATGTTAAAGTTTAATTTGTAAATTAGGCACAGTAAGAGTTGAACAACAATAACTAATAATAAAATAGAACAATTATAACAATATGTCACCATCAGTATTCTTGATTTTTTTTTTGCTTTATTTTTTCAATTTTAAAGATGTGGGGTACAATTCATGGTTAGGTATATAAGTGGTTATCATACAGGTAAAGTTTGGGCATCCCTTTCACAATACTTACTTTTTAAGTGTGGTTCATTTTTCAAGGTGTACTTGTTTCTGACTCTTCCCTGTGGTTTCTTTATTCTTGATTCCAAAACTTACCCTAGCTTTGGATTCTTCACCTGGACTGGCATTGACAATGTGACTGATTTGAAAGGATTTCAAACACATGTACAACTCAGATAACTTATATAGTTACTTAGTCTTTTACAGTTTGGCTCTGGTACACATTGAAGAAATAAACTTGTTTTGTTCTGTTTTTGGATGACATTAGAGTTGGTAGAGACATGCGAGTCAAGTCAGTTTCGATGCCCTGAACATCGCTGTATTGATGTGTCTTTTGTCTGTGATGGAGATAAAGACTGTGTGGATGGATCTGATGAGGTTGGTTGTGGTAAGTGCATTGAATTATTTTTGTGATGTTTAGAAAAATCTCCAAACGTAGTCATTTTCTTCCTGAACTAATTTCTAATACTTTTCTCTTTCATTCTTAGTATTAAACTGCACTGCTTCTCAATTCAAGTGTGCCAATGGCTATACATGTATCAACAGCGTAAAGCGTTGTGATGGCATTTTTGACTGCAGTGACAACTCTGATGAGGCAGGCTGTCGTAAGTAGCATATACTCAGCATGTTTCTGACAGAATGAAAAAGATTATTTCATTTTTACCTTTTTGATATTACCACAAATCTTCTCTAACCCAGACAAACTAGTGGAAAGACAGGCTGAATTTTACAAAGTATTCTCAAAGGAATGTGGTATTGAACATAAAAATTAACTAGACGTTACCAAATAATGATTTGTAATTAGTGAATCAAGTGGTTGTATAAATGGACACTTCAAGTATTCTCTTAGTCATGTTAAGTATGTCTTAGATATTTTGTCCTCATTTTTAATTTTTCCTTGGAAATCCCAAATTAGTGGGTTTAAAATTTTAGGACTTTATTGGATATAAATATTTTACTGGGGTGAGGTGTGGTGGCTCATGCCTGTAATCCCAGCACTTTGGGAGGCTGATGTGGAAGAATTACTTGAGCCTGGGAGTTCAAGACAGACTGGTTGTCTTTACAAAAAAATCAAACAATTAGCTGTGTCTGGTGGTGTGTAACTAGAGGCCCAGCTACTTGGGAGGCTAAGGCAGAAGGATCACCTGAACCTAGGAGTTGGAGGCTGTGGTGAACCGTGAGCCAGTTTACTCTAGCCTGGGCAACTATATAATGAGTTCTTTAAATCTCAATAGAGAGATCAAGTCATAGTATGGAAATGGTACAGAGCTGTTTTTTGTCTTTGTTTTTTTGACTTTGATTTTATTTTTTGAGGTATTATGTGTCGGTTATCTGCTAAGATGTCACATATGGGCTTTGTCCCCAGAATCTGTTAAGGGAAATTATAGAAGGCAAGAGACAATTAAAGCAAGTAAGCAGATATGATGAACTTAGAGATAGTGCTGATACAATTATATGGTGGTTCAGAGAAAAATTCCTTCCAGTAGGAGGATTCAAGTAGGACTTTGTACAATATACATCTAATGGACTTAGAATCTTCACAGGCTGTAGACCTGTCTATAATCAAACGATTTGTTATTGCTCACTTTTATTAAGCAAGTGGATTTTAGACTTGTAAAAACTCATCAGTATTAAGTGGATTTTAGACTTGTGAAAACTCATCAGGTCATTTGTTTGAACAATAGTATTTTAGGTCATAAAAAGTATGTTTGTGTCCTCCCATATCAGGAAGAAAGTGTCCTCCCATGGATAAAAAAGTATCCTCTCATGGATAAAAAGAAAAGTTAAATAAAATGCTTAAATCTTATAGTTTGCACAGCACCTAGAAATTCTTAATCATCAATTTTCCCGTTTCACATTGAAAACATAGAATTCTGTGATAATCTGAGGTTGAGGTGTCAATTGCCACTGACATGCTGTTGCCTTATGAGATTGCTGGGAGGGAGCTTGGGTTTACTCCTGTGAAGTAGGGAAGCAGTTCTTACCTATGTTTCAAGGATTGCTTGATGAATAGTGGAAAGTTTGCAAGTAGTTTTTTTACTGTCACCTTTAGTTTACTTAATGTGTGCTGATTTCTTTAGGTATAGCTCACTTAAGGGCAAATTATAACATCCTAACATGATATTAAACACATGAAGTTCAAAGTAACCATAGCTAAATAAGCTCTATTGAAATGTTCTTATGAGTCTTTCATAGGAGAAGGATGGATTGTATTACTGAATCTGCAACTGAATGAACATTAGAAATTCAGGAAACAGTATTCTTGTTTTTGTTTGTTTTGTTTTGTGAGTTGGAGTCTCACTCCATCGCCCAGGCTGGAGTGCAGTGGCACACTCACAGCCAGCCCAGTGCCAAGCTGCTGGGCTTAGGCGATCCTCCTACCTCAGCCTTGAAAGTAGCCAGAGCTACAGGGATGCACTACCATGCCCGGCTATTTTTTTAATTTATTGTAGAGACCAGTTCTCACCATGTTGCCCAGGCTGGTCTTGAACCTGCAGGCTCAGGTAGTTCTCTCCCCTGAGCTTCCCAAAGTACTGGGATTACAACCTTCAGCCACCACGCCTGGCTGGAAACAATATTCTTTTGACCCATGTACTGATCTTCTATTCAACAGTTGTACATCCTGTACTTGGTTGTTGTCAGATCCTCTCATCTATCACATAGAAACATTTCTATGTACCACAATATGGGAGAAGACTCTATATTATTTTAGCCTTCAGTATTAATTTTGTCATCGTCATTATTATAAACCTACCATTGATCCAAAAATAATTTCCTCTTAACCTAGACTATAAAAGGGATTATAAATTGCATTAACAAGCCCATTTTCCCCATACTGTTCTTCTAGCAACCAGGCCCCCTGGTATGTGCCGCTTAGATGAATTTCAGTGCCAAGAAGATGGTGACTGCATCCCAGACTTTTGGGAGTGTGATGGCCATTCAGACTGCATCTCTGGATCTGATGAGCATCATGGCTGTATACCCAAGACCTGCGCTCCATCACGTTTCCTCTGTGGCAATGGAAACTGCATCCACAGGGCATGGCTTTGTGATGGGGACAATGACTGCGGGGATATGAGTGATGAGATGACCTGCCCTACTCAGTCCTTTCACTGTCCCAGTTGGCAGTGGCAGTGTCCTGGCCATAGCATCTGTGTGAATCTGAGTGCAGTGTGTAATGACGTCTTTGATTGCCCCAATGGGACAGACGAGTCCCCACTTTGCAGTAAGTTTCCTGACCACAGTTTACTGGCCATTAACTCATTCTGAGAGTAGCCTGGTGTGTGTCACCACTACCACAGTCACTGTGTAGCTTCTTGGAAAGGGATTTCAGTTCCTCTATCAGTTCAAATCTGTGTAGGAGTAACCATAGTTGAATTTTCAAACAAATCACCATTGGATAAGATTTTGATTAAATCCTTTGCACTTGGTTATCCATTTTTACTTCTTTTTATGTCTTTGTTTAGAAAAGTGAGACTAAATGAGGCCGTTAGAGTGTCATATTAAATTTGGTTCTGTTGGTAATGTGCTCATCAGTTTTTCTAACTTTAATGTTTTCTAATTTCAATCAGAACTTGCCACAAAACAAATGAAGTTCGGGGATTTGTGTTTGCTGTGATTAAAATGCTGTGATTGGCATGTAATCCTAATCACTGTCCTTTCTCTCTTTCCTCTTTAATCAATGCTCACTGTCAGATGAACCCCATCCAGGTATGACCGTGAAGTATTTTAGATTCTTATGATTTCATATGTGTTGTGTTTGTTCTGAAAATATCCTAATAATTTTGACTTACTTCCCCTTCTAGTGCATGTTCTGTATTATGACTCATAAATAAGTTAGAGTACCCATGGAAATAGAGGGGATTTGCATCCCCAGCCATGTGAATTCTCTTGGGGTGGCTTCATTTTGGCCCGAAAAGGAGTAAGGCATGATGGTATATTAGTGAATCTGTGCCCTATAATGTTTATTGCCTTTTCTTTTCTGTTTATTTGCTTTCATAGATTGTACAGCCTTCTATATGAAATGTTAAAAGTCTTCCATTTCTGTAAAGATAGAAGAATTTCAGAGGAAGCAAATGAGAAGCAAGTTAGGTCTCTTTGCAGGCTTTATCAATGATAATTTTGTTTCTTGATGTCAACAATATTTTCCCAAAGTTTTCTTGTTGCACCAACTGAAGCTATACTAGTGGGTTGTAGTGAAGAAGGTGGGCCAAGTTCACTGGATATGAAGGATGGTGAATCCTCAGGCAAATCAGAGGAGACCCTGAACAGCCTGGGGAGCTCACCTTAGTGAATGCTGCTCTTAGCTCTTTTCTGGGCATCACATTGAATGTGGCATGAGACTACATGATACATATTACATTAAAGTGAATCAAAGAAGGAAATATTCCTGACTTTTCTGTTCGTGATTCTCTTTCTTTTTTTTAGACCAGAACAACTGTGCTGATTTCAATGGTGGTTGTACTCATGAATGTATTCAAGAGCCCTTTGGGGCTAGATGTATGTGTCCTGTGGGATATTTACTTGCCAATGATTCTAAGACTTGCGAAGACATAGATGAATGTGCTATTCCAGGCTCTTGTAGCCAGCATTGTTACAATACAAGAGGTTCTTTCCGGTGTTCATGTGATAATGACTATGTATTAGAAGGTGATGGGAGGACTTGCAAAGCTACAGGTAATTACTGGACTTAAAAACGAACTAACCTCAGTTAGCTTAACAGCACATCTTAGAGTTTAAAATAAAATGGCACATGTAGGCATTTGATAATGTTGTTTAAGCATCAGATTGAATTGAATCCTGGACACGTTATACAACCTCCTTGAACCTCAGTTTCTTGGGAGAATTAAATGAGGTGCACATTAAGATCTTGGTGTGTTTGAAAAATAGAGGCTAGAACATATATAAATAGAAGGTAATTTTAAAATTATTTAAAATATTAAAATGGTTTTTATATTGTTTAAAGATGATAATGCTTAATGAATTCAATTCAACCACTATTATTTAATTTATACTATATGAAAGTGATTATACTATGTATTATGATATTGATTTGGCTGCTTTCAAAGTGACTAAATGAAGCAGGCTAAAACAAAATAGAAGCTCCTTTCTTTTACATGTAGGAGTCAGGGGTAGAGCGTATCTGTTATCCTTATGTGGCTTTTATCAAAGGATCTCTACTTTCAGAAAGTAGAGATAGGAAAAAAAAAAAAAGGAAACAAGCAGCTTCCTTTTAAGAACATGACCTGGAATTTGATACATAATTTCTACTCATATCCTATTCCTCAGAACTGAGTAATGTGGTTTCTCCATGCTTAATGGAGGCAGAGAAATGTCCCTAGCACATTGCCTGTGTTCTAAGCTAAAACTTGGCATGCTTTATTATATAATATCTATCTATAAATATATATAAGGTATATGGAGGGGATATTGAGAGATGGTTAGAACTCTGCCACAGTTGAGTGCTTCAGGAAAACAAAAATCTTTAAGGCACAATTCTTGTTATCTAGAAGCCTGCAGTCTAGTAAGGAAGATAAGCAAAGTAAACAAATACAGTAAAAAGAAGAATGTAAGTATAGTTCTCTCCAGACTGCTATTTAGACACACTTTGCAGTATAATTCAAGAAAGAGTTTATTTTAGATATTCATGAAAATCAGCTAACGAGTAAGGTTAAGGATGAAGTTATTAAAATCATTCTTACAGGGGTTTTTCCTCATATTACTAGAATTTGGAATTGTATCTTCCTTCTATTACCAAAAATATTCCATCAAATCTTTCAGAGATGCTTCAATCATTGACATTTTTTCATTTTTTTTCTTGGACAGCATCTGAAAGTCTGCTGTTATTTGTCGCAAGTCAGAACAAAATTATTGTCGACAATATCACCTCCCAGGTCCACAATATCTATTCATTGATCCAGGATGGCTCTTACATTGTAGCTATTAATTTTGATTCAATTAGTGGCCGTATCTTTTGGTCTGATGCAAGTCAGGGTAAAACTTGGAGTGCACTTCAAAATGGAACAGACAGAAGAGTAGTAAGTATATTTCTGCTGATCTTTGACTTGGCTTGTTTCCCTGGCTTGGGCCTATTCTGAGCCACATCATATCCAAAAGACCTAGATGTTCACAACTCCTAATATATGGGTGTTTTAGATAAGAGTGTGACCTCTGAAGGCAGAAGAATGATTTCGAATTCCAGGTCACAGAGACTTCAGAATGTCTTTGAGTCTCTTTTGCAGTCTCTTCTAGTGGAGGAGAGCAGAGGAAAATGCAGGAGCGATAAGGGACTGCTTTTCTTAGTTTCAATTTAGTTATGTTTGGCAGTCCATTTTTCTGTGTTTCAGTTTCTTTTTTTTCTTTTTTCTTTTTGAGTAGAATTCTCACTCTGTCACCCAGGCTGGAGTGCAGTGGCACGCTCATGGCCACTGCAGACTCAACCTGCTGGGCTCAGGTGATCCTTCTACCTCTGCCTTCCAAGTGCACGTCACCACAGGTGCACGTCACCATGCCTGGCTAATTTTTTGATTTGTAATGAGATAAGATCTTGCCAAGTTGCCCAGGCTGGTCTCAAACCTCAAGGCTCAGGCAATCCTCTCACCTCTGCCTCCTAAAGTGCTGGGATTGCAGGTGTGAACCACTGCACTGGCTATTTTCAGTTTCTTTTTTTTTTTAATTGTAGAGATGAGGTCTCACCAAGCTGCTCAGGCTGATCTTGAACCCGTGAACTCACACAATCCTCTCACTTCAGCCTCCCAAAGTGCTGGGATTATAGGCCTGAGCCACCGCGCCCAGTTATATTTTCAGTTTCTTGACCCTTTTATTTTCTCTGCCCTTACAACTTTATTTTCTCATTATTGGTGTGTGATCAATAAAGATATTATTTTTGCCATGCTAACTTAGTGGGTAGATAGAACCTTTGTTTAATTGCAAAACAAGCTTTGAAACTCAAAATGAAATTACACATTAATCCAACAATAGAATTATCTTAGAATAATCAGTGCTATAAAATCTTGTATATTTTTTTCCCAGAAAACTCTACTGTTGATTTGCTGGTTAGTTATATGGAAAGACTAGATTTTCTAATCCCCACAAGTAAATTCTAGGACAAGTTAGATGGCTTATTCTAGATTTTTATATAATTTTCATGATTGAATTCATTTATTCCTTCCAGAATTTATCCTTTTTTCACTTTTATCTTTAGGTATTTGACAGTAGTGTCATCATGACTGAAACTATTGCAGTAGATTGGGTAGGCCGTAATCTTTACTGGACAGACTATGCCCTGGAAACAATTGAAGTCTCTAAAATTGATGGGAGCCATAGAACTGTGCTGATTAGTAAAAACATAACAAATCCAAGGGGTCTAGCAGTAGATCCAAGAATGAAGTAAGACTTTTTATTTTTATTTTTTAATTATTGTTGTATTGACGTGGTTATGATGAGGGGAAGACAATAACATGGTGTACCTGGTGTGCATATTGCTGATATGCAGAATTTTAAATGACCCCTTGTTCAAACATGGTAGATGTCCACCTGGTTGTTGGTATGCCTACTTTTTTTGAATAGTCTTCTTAAAGTTCATAAGAGCAATTATTCTTTATTTTAAATTATGCTGACTAATTATCTTGGCAGTACAACTATTGAAATTATTGTTGTAGGATTATAAAATTAAGTTTCTAATTAATGCATGTAAGTAATATCCCATAAATGGGCCAGTTTGCTGTAACTTTGATACCACATGGTTATACATCAAAAGAGTTGGGGTTTTCTGCTTCCATTTCATGTCATTTACTAGAACTCTCTTTTAAATCATAAAAGTAAGAAAATTTTTGCCTGCTGGTCCTAAAGGGAAGAAAGAGAAATCCTCCCATGTATTTAGAAGTCTTTGAGGGCTTCCTTCCTTGTCTTTATTTGGATTCTATAACTTAGATTCTTTTCTGCAAGATGATAAATTAGGTAAGTTCCGTTCAGTGTAATGCTGACTTCCTAGATAGTGAAAAATGATTACCCACCAGTGAAATTTATGAAGAATCTCTGATGAATTCCTTATCTATATAAATTAACTTCCTTATCTAAAACATGACAGTGTAGACAAACAAGGACAGATGGATTTTTCCAAATCAACTATTTGTGGTTTGTACACAAACATGAATTGGCATTGAGACATTTTAGTATCGTAATGTACTGCATGTTTTATGAACATTATAAAAACACCCAGATGGCTTGTGATTGCATTATGATTACAGCTTTACTTTGTGACACTCAGAGGAAATAATAAACTCTGTGCATATATTCTGAACTGATTTATTTTAAGTGGAGCATAAACAGGATGTTGTATCATTTTAAATGACAGTTATTTTTCATATTGAAATATGTCTCCTTCAATTGGTAACTCATTTCTTTTCACAGTGAGCATTTTCTGTTCTGGTCCGACTGGGGCCATCACCCTCGAATTGAGCGAGCCAGTATGGATGGCAGTATGCGCACTGTCATTGTCCAGGACAAGATCTATTGGCCCAGTGGATTAACTATCGACTACCCTAACAGACTGCTTTACTTTATGGATACCTATCTTGATTACATAGACTTTTGTGATTATAATGGACAACATCGAAGGCAGGTGCTAGCCAGTGACTTGGTAAGTTGGTAGTGGGAAAACCAAACTGTACAACCTACAGTTGTAGAAAAGTAGAAAGCAGACGAGTATCAAGAAAGCTAAGTAATTTTTGTGTCATAGACCTTGTTAGGTCACTCCAGGAAGTATCAACAACAATGAGAGGCAATCCATCTCTATTACCAACAGGAAAATGAATATTTTTATTCCGGTTTTCACTGTCAGATTGTGCCATGTCTAGGAAGGATTAATAGCGCCTGTGATTTAGTTGAGCTGTAGATATGAATCTGCTGCTTCCATATCTTAAAAGTTATGTTAAAGAAAAATTAATAACTTAACTAGATTTACGTTTCTCAAATAATAGCCTATTTATGTATTTAATGTTTTTTTATTCAGTAAATGCATGTTAAATGGAAAAGTACAGAAAATACGTATTTTACCAAAGTGCTATTATTGACCTCCATTTTAAGTTGCCATGGTTTATAATTTCCATGACTTGAAGAGACCCTGGGACAGCCTCCCTACCTTCAGGAAGTATGAGCCTAAACTGTAACAATTGATGTAAATCAGTGAGTGGTGGACAAAATGGTGGAAACAACATGGGACAAGGAGTGTTGAGGAAGGAGTCAGGACAAGACTGTGGCAGTAGGGAATGAGGGACCTCAAACTGAGTTCTCTAGTTATATCCAACCTCTGAGTAGTAGGTGATCTAGATACGTTTTGTTTCTGTTTGCAAAATGCATGCCCAGTGTAATTGCCAGAGTAAACATGAAGAACACATGACACGTTCGTGGAATTATTTTAAGTGGTTTAGTGGGATGGAGGGCAAGTGGCATATTTTTTGCTTATTTCTTGTGCAGTGAGTTCCCTGTGTTTTTGTTAAATAATGACATACTAAAGGCAACCCTCTTCTCGAGCAGACATCCTCTTTGACTGAGTTCACCTTGGCTTTTATTTCTGGGAGAGGTCTCACTCTTCTATTTTGCCTCACAGGTTCTGCGGCATCCCTATGCCCTAACTCTCTTTGAAGATAATGTGTACTGGACTGACCGTGCTACTCGTAAAGTTATGCAAGCCAACAAGTGGCATGGGGGGAACCAGTCCATTATAATGTATAATATTCAGCAACCCTTTGGGATTGTTGCAGTTCATCCTTCGAAACAACCAAATTGTAAGTGATACAGAGAAACATCCTGCCTGGGAAGAGCTTGGGAAACACTTATTTTGGGAATGCTAAGTGCACACCTTTACAGATTCATTTGCTTGGGTGACACATTTCCCTTTTTTTTAAAAAAAAAAACTAATCACTCCCCTCTACTCTTTCTTCTGTCCTAACATTGCCATTACTTTTATTTATCATGGAAAACTCAAACCTTGGATGCAGCAACAGCACATCTAAATTGTGTCATTTTATTTCTCAATGACTTACTTCCTCTGTGACCTTTCTCTAAGTCTGTTTCCCCAGTTGACAAATATAGTAGAGACTAGATAGTACCTTAGATCCTCTTATTGCTACCACTGTGTGGTTTAAAGCAACTTATTTTTATTTCATTTATGTTTTTATTTTTTGAGTTGGGATCTTTTGTCACGCAGGCAGGAGTGCAGTAGCACAATCACAGCTCACACAGCCTGATCTTGTCTTATGTGATCCTTCCTCCTCAGCCTTCTGAGTAACTCGGATTATAGGAACACTCCACCACACTTGGCTAATTTTTTGACTTTTTTTTTCCCCCTAGAGATGAGGTCTCACTATGTTGCCCAGGTTGGTCTCGAACTCTTGGGCGCAAGCAATCCTCCAGTCTTGGCCTCACAAAGTGCTGGAATTATAGGTATAAGTCATCACCCCTGAGTTAAAGCAGCTTATTTTTTACAACTTATTTATTATGGCACCATTCCTTTTAGGTGCTTTGGTGTGACCACCTCAAGTCATCCTAAGGTGTGTGGTGTGGGTGGCTAGGTGCTTTAAAGTTTTGGCCTTTATAGTTTTCTTTCCGATGGGAGGGGAAATAAATGATAGGTCACTTAATCTTCACTTAACCTCTCTCCTCAAATCTCTCCATCATATCTCATCACACTTCCACATCTGGCTCTTGCTACATCCCTGTCTTTTCTTCCACATTTTCTCACCACATTGGACTTCATTATGGCCCAGAAGCATACCAGGTGACTTTCCACCTCTGAACTTTTGCACTCGCTCTTCTGCTGCCTGGAACATCTCTCTTCCAGGTCTCTGCTTGAGTTGTTCCTTCATGTCATTTAGGATTCTGCCCAAATGTCACTCTCAAAGAGGTCCTCATGGACCACCCCACCTAAAATAGCCACTTCCTCTTAGCATTTCTGTTTACTATCACATTCTGTAAACACAAAACACACACACAACACACACACACACACACACACACACACACACACACACACACACTTTATGAGTTTAGTTCTATTTCCTTTTACTAGAATGAATACTTCACTTTTATAATATTGCCAGTGCTTAAAATAGTGTTTGGTATACAATGAATTCCCATCATTTTTATGTGAATACATAGATTAATAATCCAACCCAGTATAACAATATATAGGGTCTAGGGAAAATCCTGTGAGTGTGGGATCACACTCTTTTCAAGGAGCAAAGATGCAGAGATGTCATCAGCAGAAAAATAAAAAACCTACTTAATCTAAAATCTGGGCAACACTACGTAAATCTCAAGATCACACAGCAAATACAGAACTTTCATTTAATGTCAGAAGATCTCTTTTAGGTTCAGCCTGAAATATGTTGAGTGCCAACATATTATTTAACATCACATTTCTATTTCTATTATTAAGTTTAGATTAATCAGTGACTGTTCGTAATCTGGTTACAGATAGACTTGATCTATGACCTTAAGTAAGTCATTCCTTTCTCTTGTGCCTCTTATGCATTTTAAGTTGAAAGCATGATGCTAGGGAAAGGTAAACTAGTTTAGAGAAAAGGAAGCAAAACAACAGAGGTAAGTTCACATACTTGAGTGTCAAAATTCCGGGTACCTCTGGGAGGACACTAATAGCGTGACATGGGAGGCTTTCCACTCACTTTTTTCTTTTTCTCATACAGCCGAGAATCCATGCGCCTCTGCCCGTTGCAGCCATCTGTGCCTGCTTTCCTCCCAGGGACCTAATTTTTACTCCTGTGCTTGTCCTTCAGGATGGCATCTCTCTTCTGATCTTGTGACTTGCTTGAGAGGTACAGTACGCCCCTTACATGTGCTCTGAAGACGGAGCTTGTCATAATTTATGCCAAGTAGTGGAAACTCTAAACCCACTAGCGACTGAGCATGTGCTGTGTTCCCTTTGATTACACGGGTGTCTGTGGAATGCGTGTTGTGTAGGGTGATGTAATTGAGCACCTCAGTTGTAGTAGGTTCCTGTATATGGTACTAATGTTATCCGTGCATGTGACTGGACAACCTCTAACCTCATATTTTCTCTCACCTGGCTACAGTTAGACTTTTCTGACAAGGTATGATAACGGGAAGTTCCAAATTCTGCACTTAAGAAGTAAACATTTTTGACATTTGTGTATGGTTTCATTTTTCGTGTCCACTCTCTCATTTTTATTCTCATAAGCAATAGTCAGCCTCGGTCTTATGACTCCAACTTGAGTACCTTTATTATTATTATCTAATACTTTAAGAAGGAGAGCTGTCTCTGTATGAGATATTATAAGTGACTATTTGAGCAATTTAGTCCTTATCTCATCCTAGAGATATTTTACTGGGTTGATTGAATAGTAGGTAGAGGAATATATCAAGTACTTTAGGAAGTAAGAAAAGGAGGAAGAGAAACAATCAGTCTATATCAGACATTTCTTCTAGAGTGTGTACTTGTGTATAATAAACTCATTTGAAAAATCATCCTTCATTTCTTAAAAATCTAAAAAGTTACTCTAAACCCAGGTTTCTTTCATTTTTCAGTGAAGAGTCTTGAATGTGTTTTGATACTTTTAAAAATTGCTGTAGATAAATTAAAATGTTTGATGATAAAATATTCCTAAATTAAGAGATAACACAGTCCTAATCTAGAGGAAAATTTAGTTTTCAAGTGGAAACTGTAAAATGAATCCAAGAAACATAATGTTTACAGATTATTTTTAGTAGGCTTACTGAAAATCAGTTTCCATCAGTATGTAATGTTGTGCAATGATACTTTCATGATGAAAGATTTTAATTATTGGTGATGCTCACGAAGGGTTTGACATTTGCCATTTTTCCTCAGGGACTTATTGTGCACCTAATCCGTGTTGACATTGTTTAATTTGGTGTGTCTCAGAGTCTTTCAGGAAAGGATTAAACAGGGCTCTAGACATTTTGGATACAAAGCATTCTTTCACCACAGAGATTGTTGCATTGTGCTTTTGGGATTGGTGTAATCAATATTGCTATCTGATGATGATTGATAAATGCTAATTCTGAATAGTGCCTTTTGTTGTCTCATAGATAATTCTAGTAGTTTTCCCATGGACTTTACTGAAGTGGAACTTTTTCAGTATTTCCCAATTGGTTTCTGAGCACCAGTTGGATAATTGAGTGCTCACTAAAAAAAAGTTGCATTTTTTTCAACAATAACTTTAGAAGACTTGTTCCATTTGTATATAAAAACACTTTACTTGATTTAATTGTTCAATAGCCTTTAAAATAGTGTTTACTAGGTGTTCGGGATATATTTGGAAGTGCTTGAATGACACTGTTAAGTGAAAAAGCGGATATTGTCCAATATCAGCTTGTAAAAACATGCATTAAAAAGGTCTGGAAGAAAACACATACAAGTACCAATAGTGGTTACAGTTGGATTGGGGTATTAGGAGATATAAAATCTTTTTTAAAAAAATTTTTAATTTTAAATATATGGGGTACAATTCAGGGTTAGGTATACAAATGTTCATTATATAGGTACCCTTGTTGATGAGGTGTGCCTCCCCCTCCCCTGGCAGTTTCCCACTACTGCCAATCTCGCCCCCCCTCCCCTGGCAGTTTCCAATTACTGCCAATTCCTTTCTTACAGTATTAATGATAATTGTTCAAGGTCCGCTTATGAGTAAGAATATGTGGTACTGAGTTCTTTGTTTCTGTTATAGATCACTCAGTATTAATAGCCTCTAAGTCCATACAAGTTGCTGCTAAGTTCTTAATTTTGTCCTTCTTTAGGGCTATGTAATATTCCATTGTGTATATGCACCACATTTTTTTTTTTTTTTACCAATCCTCTTTTGATGGGCAGAACAGTTGGTTTCATGTTCTTGCAATTGTGAATAAGGGTGATATTTCTTTTTGTTCTAGCACATGTTATAAAATTTTTAAATGAAACCTTTCTCTGTATATATGGAATTTAAAAAAAATTCTTTAGAAGATATGGTCTTTTCAATGCCAAAACCAAACATACAAAACTCAAGCCAACATTTCTCCAGCACTTCCTAAAACAACCCACATACAAAATTGGCTTCTGACTCAGTCTAAGGGGCACAAGGCATTTACTTCAGCGATTATGTGCAAAATAAGAAGAAAACATTACTTGCCCTTACTCCAGGAAAGGCTGCAGTGATGATTGGTTTATGCAGGGTTTGATTTAAGGAGGACCTAGGTTTGGGGAGGGGGGTCATAAATGTCGCCCTTTAATTACAACATTGATTTCCCAGTCCTGACTATAGTGCATTCATTTATTTTTCTACTCTGCTAACACTAACATTAGAAATAAAGAGATGACCTTTAATTTCAGAAAACGGAGACCCATTCACCTAGGACAGTTTAACTGTCACTTCCTCCTGAACTACTTCAGTCCAGCTCTAGATGCTCTGTGCCTTCATGCCATTACCATAGTGAAGTCTAAGGAATGCTAATTCCTTGAGGGTAAAGCTCCCATTTGGTTTGTAGACGCATGCTTATTGCCTATGGCACTTTTGTAGCATATGGTGGCTCTCAGTACATGTTGAATGAATGACAAGCTCTCCAATATCTATTATTGCTCCTTCCCCAGTCCTCTGTTTTTCACCTGTTTGCTCCTTTGATAGAGTATGCAGTGTCATAAAATCCCTTCTCCTTTTTTCTCTCCCATATGGTATTTTTCATGTACCCTCTCCTGCTGCTTCCTTTTTTTTTTTTTTTTTAAGGTATACAAATGTTCATTATGCAGGTACCTTTGTTGATGAGGTGTACCCCCGCAATTTCCCCACTGGCAGTTTTCAACTACTGCCAATCCCTTTCTCGCATCTTCTCTCCATCATCCCTCACCATGGCTGTCACACTTTCAGCCAGTGCAGGATTAGATGATATGCTACTCCCTGGTCCATTGCCTGAAAGTGTTCATTTGTGATAAACTTTCACCAAGACACAATCAGTAATCAGATAAAGGCCCCGAGACACATCCCCAGGAAGGAGTAACGGACGAGGAAGAAGTAGAACTGGGTAGTACGGAAGGGAAGATCTTCTTGGAGGAATCAAAAGGCCCATGTTTGATGGATGAGAAATGCAGTTTTTTAGGCCTTGTCTAAAGAATGCTTTGGTTGGGAATTCCTCCAATTAGGCAAAAGGTAAATTATCCATTAAAAGGGCATTATCGAGTTTCAAATGAGTGAAATTTTAAACTCCCTGCACAATTGAGAGATCGTTCTTGTTTTACTGGACCACCTATTTATTGATTATGCCATCTATAATCAGTACATAGCTAAATATCACAATATTATTTCACAGTACATCTGAAGCTCATAATGTAGCCTTCATTATTTAATTACTGTAGTGAAGCCAAATGAAATGAGTGGTAATTTGATATTCAGTAAGAAGTACCTGTTCTGCACTTTTTTACAGAGTAGTGTTGAAGAACATAGATTTTGGAGTCCAAGAGACCTGGCAGTGTGTCCTTGGTTAAATTATTTAATTTCTTTTTGTCTTATATTCAAGTTGGGGGAGACACCAGTCTGACAACAGAATTAAGTGAAATGATATTTATCTGATGCATGCTCTGTGGCACATATTATCAATAAATAAGGGGCAAATACTATGGCAATTGCAGTTGTTCAGAAGAGAGGCTATGTGGAGCAGTTGAGAGAGCAAAGGCTTGGATGCTAATGGTCCAGGGTCCATCTTGAGTTATACTGCTTTCAGCATAAGTCACATAGCTCCTCTAAGTCTCATTTGCCCCAACTGAAAACAGCTTTGCTATACATTGTTGTGCTTTGGAAAAGCAAAGAGTTAATATTTGCAAATTTATATTTCATTAAATTTAAATTTGTACTAGGTTAATACATACTGAGTTATTTGTCAGTAATAGAAATGACAGGAACAAGAAAAAGCAAATGAGATGTGAAAATAAGTGAAGAAAAAGTGTCGAAATCATCTTGTTGAAGATGTAAAGCTTCCCAGATTAACAAAATAATGGAAAATATAATTTTTAGCCCATGGAAATTATGCAATGATTAATCATTAATACTCTGACTTAATATGTGATATATATGCGTCTTACTAACACAAAACTTACATTCAACATTTTCTCTTACTCAGAGAAGAATTTTAAAATAGACCCCATTCTTGAATTTTGTTAATTTAGGTTTTTTGATGGGACTACAGCCAGGATAAAGATTAAATTATTTTTGGAAAAGGAACTTTTATTATCTTAAAGAGGCTAAGTGAACTAATAGATTAAATATGATGTTACAGAGATGTTTAAATTTCAATGATATTTTTGAGAACTTCAGAAGACACTTTACATATTCGCTGATGCATTCATCATTTACTAAGTCATGTGGTCATACATTAAGTGAGTAAATATTTTTTGGACAACTGTTTTATGCCAGGTTTTGTACCAAGTCCTGAGGACACATGCATGAGCAAGTCAAACACAATTATTACCCTTTGGGAGTAAGAATTTAGTGGGGAAGATAGACTTAGTCAAATAACAACGAATTGGATTTATTTATTTATTTATTATTTTCTGAGTCAGAGTCTCACTGTTGCCCAGCTAGAGTGCAGTGATTTTTGATCGCTCAAAAGTTTTGATCACTCACAGTGATCTTTCTGCTTCAGCCTTCCAAGTAGCTGGAACTACAGGGGTGTGCCACCATATCTGGCTAATTTTTCTTGATTTATTGTAGAGACGAGGTCTCACCATGTTCCCCAGGTTGGTCTCGAACCCCTGTGTCACACTAGCCAATCTTGCCTCTGCCCCCCAAAGTACTGGGATTACAGGTGTGAGCCACCATGCCCAGCCAGATTTATTTATTTCTCTAATAAATACAAGGCAACATCTTGTGGTGTTGTTTTATTTCTGAACATACTTAAAACTAATAAGCTGCCATTCGCCAAGAATAGTCTAAAATTTTTCTTTCACAATTTATTTTCCCCCCAAAATTCAACTCTCTTTTCCCTGAGTTCAGTATTAGTGAGCTTTGTCTGCGTGTGGAAATGGAATAACTTTGTGACTGTGAAGTTTAGCAAATATGAGTGGATTATTGGTATAAGGAATTAGTGAAGAGCAAGGTAAATACCGATCTGCCTTGGAAAAGTCCAGACCCAGCAACCCACTGAAACCCTACAAAAGACTCGTGATGCAACAGTTTGATGAAATATGTACCATGCATGATATGCATTTATTGGTATAATGCTGCAATGGCATTTTAGTCCAAATAGTGTTAACAATCTACTGCCTTCCATTAGTCGAACTGTCTGGAAATAGTGAGATATAATTTTGACAGATAGTCTGCTTTCTTCACAGATGATCACCCTTTCTTAATAACTGTAAGACAGCACATAATTTTTGGAATCTCCCTTAATCCCGATGAGAAGAGCAATGATGCTATGGTCCCCATAGCAGGGATACAGTATGGTTTAGATGCTGAATTTGATGACACTGAGCAATTCATCTACTGGGTTGAGAATCCAGTAAGTTTTGAATAACGTTTAATTTATGTAATTTATTCTCATTTTGTTGGGTGGGGAAAAGGGAAATGGTCCACTAATTTTTGATTCATTGAGGAATGTAAATGTGAACTTGGTCTGAAGCAAAGATCGAAAAGCTATCTAGCTTAGAATAACAAACATTTAAGCTATTGCGTCTCATTTATTTATTCAGCAAGTATTTATTAATTAAGTGCCTACAATTTTCTCTGCACTGAACTACCTGCTTCTAACTTCAGAAGACATGCCAAGAAGCAGCAGTCATAAAGCTTGCCCTAGAGGATCCTTAAGCTAGTAGAAGATATTACACTAACATAAAAATGGTCATAACTCAAGGTAAAAGTAGTAGTTCCCTAAGGGAATTCCTGGAAAGCATTTGATGTGGCTGCTGGGGTCCTCCTTCAGAATCTTTGCCTCCAGGGTAAGAATGAATATTCCTCCAGTTCTCTTACCTTTGGGATTTTTCCTCCATCCTCCAGGGAAGGAAACTAGGGAAAAGGCAAGGAGAAGACAAAGGAGGAGGAGAGGGAAGATCTTTATGTTTGCTATTTGTCATCTTTATGCAAAATCTACTCCTGGTCTCTGGATCTTTATTTGTGACTTGGGTTTTTCTTATGACTTATGCCTGTGGTAGTTAAGAACTATCTCTGTAGCCAGTACTAGAGATAGCCTGAATGGTAAGCTTTGTGTAGTCCTGTGTCACACCAACCAATAGTGTGTGAAGCCTACCCAATGCTGCTGAACTTTTGTTTGCTTTATCCCAAGTGTGAGGACTGTTAAAGAAACAGCAGCTGGCAGTAGGCGCGGTGAAGACAGTGGTCTTATGCAGAAGCTGGGACTTGCAGCAGCAACAGCTCATCTCTTGTGTCTTTATTTCCAGGGTGAAATTCACAGAGTGAAGACAGACGGCACCAACAGGACAGTGTTTGCTTCTCTATCTATGGTGGGGTATCCTATGGGCCTGGCCTTAGATTGGCTATCAAGAAACCTTTATTCCACCAATCCTGGAAGTCAGTCAATTGAGGTAATCATTCCATAATACTACTTACACAGACATTGGTTTCAGATTCATGTAAAATCTATTTTCAGGAACTTCTTTCATATGGATTTTGGAATTATTTTTAAGCAAGACACAAAGAGAAGGGATATTATTATTAACTATCTAAGTCTCTAAAGCTAAAGAGGAAAACCACCTTAAAAATAAATTCATGAATCAACCTTTCTTTTTCTTTCTTTCTTTCTTTCTTTCTTTCTTTCTTTCTTTCTTTCTTTCTTTCTTTCTTTCTTTCTTTCTTTCTTTTTCTTTCTTTCTTTCTTTCTTTCCTCTCTCTCTTTTTCTTTCTCTCTTTCTCTCTCTCTTTCTTTCTTTGTTTCTTTTAAAAGTCAGAGAGAGGAAAGAAAGGGAGATATGCCAGAGCTGGCAAGAGTGAGAGAAAACGCCAATTCATGAATCTTTCTATTGCCCTATTGTATTTCCTCTTAAGTATCTATACTACCATTCCTATTAAAGTATTTAGATAGTTGATAAAATAATATATCAGAAGATAAAACATTATGTAAAATTCAGTATAAAGATTATGGTAGACAGGGAATTTTCACTATTTGTCCTCATCTAATCTTCAGTGCAATTTTAGTTCTCAAGCAGATTTATAGGATACCTCTGTTCTTAGATGGAAATCTTTCTATGGCTTCAATACAGTTTTTCTAACAGTGAAACAGAAAGTAGAAACTTGATCCTAATTCCTTTGATACTCTCCTCTTTGAGATAAGTGTTCTTTTGCTCGAGTTCCCAGAAGAAATTCTAGATGAGGCACAGGTATGAAATCACATGAAGTAAATCAGAGGTAACTTGATTAGTATTGGTTTGCTCCACTCTGGAACCAGGATAAAACCTGTAAGGGATTATTAATTCATAATAGTTTTGAAAGTGAAACTTCCTAATGCAAAGAGAGGGTTTTCTGAGAAGGGCAGTTAGCAGAGCCACTGCTTTAGGTGGGCATCCGCTGGTAAGTTGGTTGTTCTTTGGAGCATTCAGAAAGATAGATGCTGAAGATGAGGAAGGCATGCAGCAGCCTGGTGGCTAATTTAGAGCAGATTCTATAGGAGGCGTGCACGCTGGAATAGAGCTTTACAATTTACAGAGGTTTCTCATAAATACCATCTAATTTAATCCTCACAACATTCCTGAGGGCGGGCAGGTTATGGTATCCATTCACAATGTGAGGGAAATTTGCAGTAAACACAAATGCTAACCCACAGAATGTCTCAAACCAGTGACCCTTGGAGGCTCATCTGATTCAAGCATTTTGTTTTTAACAAAAGAAATTGAGGCCACAGAAGTTAAGGAATTGGCATCAATGGTCAGTTTCACTGTCCTGATTCCGGGGCAGTGTTCTCTCTTTGCACTGTTATAAAGTACATCTCCAGCACTCCAAACTGGTTCACTCACAACAATGCTGTGTGAATCCCAAATGACAATTAATATACTCTTATTCTGTCTCTTGGTTTCTTGTTTGATAAAGCAGGGAGTATGTCCTCCCTATCTTTGTGAGGTAAAAATGACAAGGTAATCAGTTGGAGAATGACTGAGCATGTCTCTCTCTCTCTGTCTCTCTCTCTGTCTCTTTCTGTCTCTCTCTGTGTATTGGTAAGGCCACCTTAACCACATAAACTGAAAGTTTGTATTTGTGCCCCAGTGCAGTGTGGCATAGAGCAAAAAGATTATGTGATTTGGAGTCCTTACTCTGTCACCCAGACTGGAGTGCTGTGGCACGCTCCCAGCCATGGCAGCCTTAACTTGCTGGGCTCTGGCGGTCCTTCCGCCTCAGCCTTCCACATAGCTGGAACTACAGGCGTGCTATTTTTTTATTTATTGTAGAGACGAGGTCTCGCCAAGTTGCCCGGGTGGGTCTCGAACCCGCAGACTCAGGCAATTCACTCGCCTCGATCTCCCAAAGTGCTGGGATTACAGGCTGAGCCACCGAGCCCAGCCTGATTTGGAGTCTTAAGACCTAGCTTTGAGTCTAACTTGCTTGTTCATTTAACGAGCACTGGTAAAGGCTTTCTATGGATCAGTCCCATGGTTGGTCTTGGATATTCAAAGATGAGTAAAATATTTTTTTCTGCTGTTTAAATAGGTCACACACCTGAGAGATAGACACATAAACAAATTCTTGTGTTCCAGTGTGGTAAGTGTGATAAGGGCCATGAATATAAAGTGCTAGTGTTTAGGGGCAGAGGCAAAGTAAGGGGAAAAAGAATACAGACGTCCCATTAGCAGTTATGTATGAGCTGGATCTTGAATGATGACTAATAAGTACCCTCTTATCAAAGATTTCACTTTCTGAGGTTTCAGTTACCTGTAGTCAGCCGTGGTCTGGAAATAGGGGAGCATAGTGCAATAAGGTTTTTTGAGAGAGGGAGAGACCACATTCACATAACGTTTATTATAGTATATTGTTATAATTGTTTTATTTTATGATTATTGTTGTCAATCTCTTCCTTTGCCTAATTTAGAAAATAAACTTTATGTATGTATTGAAAAAACATAGTGTGTATATATAATATTTATAATTATATATAGATAGATAATATTTAGTAATATCTGAGGTTTCAAGCATCCACTGGTGGTCTTAGAATATATTCACCTTGGATAAGGCATGAGCTACTGTATTTATTTCTGTCAAATGAAGAAGTAGGGACAAGGTATCTTAGCCAGATGAATACAAACACTGATATATACATTTTGTGACTTGGGTACAACACTGTATTTCCACCACTCAGAGCTTATTTGACCTTGGAAAATCACTTAACTTCTCTATGTTTTCTTATCTGTAAAACGGGATTAATGTCTCAGTAAGTAAAAGTACTTCATAACAGTGCTCAAATTATCAATTTATTTAGAATAATGATCCAATGGTAAATTGCCCTTTTAATTTTTTTTGGTGTTTTTTTTCCCTTAGATGATATAAATTATAAGCAATTCTTCCAGGCGATTGTTTGATTAATTAAGAAAATAGGAATAGTGTTGACTCATTGTATTCCTTCCAGCATAAGAGTAATTCACATTTAATTCTAACTTGAAAATAAAAGAGGAACATTGAAGAAATTGTTTTCCACTAGGGGTAGCTGTGTGTCCATTCACGAAAAGAAATTTTGTAGCTGAAATGTGAAGCTCATAGAGTGGCTGGATGAGAGAGAGCTTGATATATTCCAGAAAACAAGGAAAGGAAGTTTATTTTCAACCAAAGAAATCCTTAGGCCTAGGAAAAGGAGAGAGATTGTATCAGAAAGAGGCAAATTAAAAAAGAAAAATTATCTTAGTCCAAGCAGGAATGAAAGGTACAGAAAGGAGAGAAAAAAGGATTAGAAGAATGAAGAGTATGTGTGTGAAGGGGTGGGGGGAGAGATAGATAGAAACAACTTACTAGTTGTCTCTTAGACTGTGTCAGGTGCATATTGAAATAGCCTGGTTCCTAAAAGAAACTTGCTTCGAGTCCAGTAAACCATGTTTCTATGTGCTGTATTAGGGTCCTCTTAACATTGGATTATAACAGTAGTAATTAAAAATAGATAATATTGGGAAAGCCACTAAACATCTCTAGATCTCTTCTTCATCATCTGTAATATGGGTATAATAATGGTATATACCTCACAGAATTATTTATGCAGATTAAATATGATTAGGTTTAGTCTAATACCTGCTACATGAATAAATGGATCAATTATAAAATAGACATTTCTTGAACATGGATGGGCTGGTGCTGTGCTATGTGCTTTCCCTGTATTATCTGTCAGTTCTGTGGGCTCTATGCAGAAGGTACTGCTGTCACCCACATTTTACTGATAAAGAAATTAATATAAGACAGGTGAATTTATTTGCTTTTGGTCATACAGTCAGGAATTGGCAGGGCAAAGATTTCAACTCATATATTTTGATTCAGGTTGTTGACTTGAAATTAAATGCACTATAACCCTGAGTGAATTTGGACTGTTTTGATCAACTGTGCTGACAGTAACAGGCTATTGAGTGCCATAGCCCAGTCCTTGGGGTACAGGAAAGTGATGGGTTTCCCATTTATTTTCTAGTGTTTTATCTTTTCCTGAGAACATTTTTACAGTGCCTTCAGGCAGTGGCTCTGTGTGTTTACTCATCTGAATCTTTCTTTTATCCAGAAAAAATGTTCTGTACTGAAATTTTAGGTGAATTGGAAGGTGGAATTTGGGAGATGGTTTTGCTTTTCCTTCTCTCATTTTCTATTGAGCTGGTTTCCTCATAGCTCTGAAATGCAAGTAGAGATTATCTGAATCTTATGCAAACCTCTCTCATTCATCCCTAATCGTGCTTTGAAATTGTTTATGTAAATTCTCCTTCATTTCAGCTTTCTTTGTTTTCCTGTTATGAAACTCAGTTCTAATAAGTGATTTTATGCTATAGGTTCTGACACTCCGAGGAGATATCAGATATAGAAAAACACTGATTGCCAATGACGGAACAGCTCTTGGAGTTGGCTTTCCAATTGGCATAGTTGTTGATCCTGCTCGTGGGTGAGTGTTCATAGATGGCACATGTCTTCTGGGCAGCACCATTCTTGTTACTGTCATGTTCTGATAAAATGGAAGGTTTTAAACTTAAGATATTTTCTGATTTCCTAAGTCAGCATTAGGAAAATATAGATCTCAGTGAGAAAGGTAAATATTTAACATGAAGGATAACATTTGTATTTTGTTTTATGGTCTCCAGATGAATAAAACTGGACTTAAAATTCCAAAATAAGCAAGAATTTTAGGGCTTTTAAAATAGAATTATGGTTATGGACAATATATTCCAACTTTGAAAGGACACAGACACAAATGTATGTAACATTTGCAATAGACCTTGAAGAAAGACTAGGCTTCCAGTAGGCGGAGAATGGGTGGCAACCAGTGAGCAGTACTGACAAGTGAGCAGTACTTGGCAAGTTTTCCATTCGTTTTCCAAATGTACTGAGTAGTACATGGTTCTCTGTATGTGAATTGGCTGTTGGTATGGGCTTCTTCTGTATCCTAAGCTTCCCAGAACTAAAGGTTCCGATCAAGCTAAAGTTTCAGTCACCAATGACAAACCCTAGCCTTTTGCTTTGGACACCATTTTAAATGGACTTTCCCCCAATAATAACTGCAAAATATACAGACATTGATAGAACACTGGTTAAAGTACTCCTCCACATTGTGCACAACAAAATGTTGATGTTTCAGTCTTTGTCCATGGAATTGTGAGCATCTTGAGAACAAGAAATACACATTTTTATTTAAATTACATATACCATTCCCTTAAACCTGTCTTCTGTTTTGTTAAATGCTGGTGTTTTTCATGATCTCAGGAAGCTATACTGGTCAGACCAAGGAACTGACAGTGGGGTTCCCGCCAAAATCGCAAGTGCTAACATGAATGGCACATCTTCAAAAATTCTCTTCACTGGAAACCTTGAGCACCTGGAATCTATTACCCTTGACATCAAGGAGCAGAAACTCTACTGGGCAGTCACTGGAAGAGGAGTGGTACGGGCACCCTTTCAGTCTTTTGGCTTTTATACTGAGCTTATGGAGCTGATCCTGAACATTCTGAGTTATTAGGAAGTAGTTATTCAACAATCTTACTTGGCAACATGTATCAGTGCTTTATCATCCTGTCTCCTAATAACTTCTCTCCCTTATGCAAAATCTTAGTTGTTCCTAGTTGAAATCCAATTCTTTACAGTATGTACATAGTTCCCTATAGAATGACGTTAACTAAGCTTTCCTCCAAATTCTGTTTTTCTTCAGGATAGATTAATCCCATTTATCATTTTTTGCTTGTCCTTTGTTTGAAAGTACTTAAGGTTCTCCAATTATAGAGACTAAGGGAATGTGTGTGTATATAATATATATATATATTCTCTTTCTCTCTAAATCTATTCATCAATCTAGATATAGGTTAATCTGTCTGTCTATATATCTATATCTATTGATTAGTATCTATTCATCATCTAGCTATCTATCTAAAGGGCAAGCTTTTGAGCTCAGCAGCCTTTCATAGTTGTACCTTTTTTTCTAATATCCTAACTTGGCTAATTCACATGTGAAACTTTCTTTTTCTTTTTGCGTTGGAGTCTCACTCTGTTGCCCAGAATGGAGTGCAGGGGGCATATTTACTGCTCACTGCAGCATCAACCTCCTGGATTCAGATGATCCTTCTGCCTCAGCCTCCCAAGTAGCTGGGACTACAGGCATGTGCCATCATGCCTGGATAATTAAAAAAAAAATTTTTTTTTTGTAGAGATGAGGTCTCACTATGCTGCTTAAGCTGGTCTCAAACTCCTGTCTTCAGATGATTTTTCCTGTCTTGGCCTCCCAAAGTGCTAAGATTACAGGCATGAGCCACGATACCTGACCCCATGAAACTTTCTTTACTGGTGATTTTAAACTCCAATGTTGAGTTCATTATATTCTGCATTAAGAAGCAGAAACTATAAAGTTTCATTCATTCACTGAAATAGTACTTGACCTTCACTGCTGTGCTTATGCAGCTAAGCTTGGGCCAAGCACATAGAATGGTGCTCAATAATCATTATTGATCGATTAAACATTGCTTTGGATTTTGAAAGGAAGACATGCTATTTTCTTCCTTGCTTTTTAAACAGTAAGATCTTTGACACTGATGCTTTCTGTAATATTGGCAATAGGTTTGGCTTTCAGCTTATTATTTTTTCAACAAGAACTAACTTCACTATTGATACGGACTTATGATGGCAATAAGCTTTGGGGATTAAAAAGTAGTGATGTGTTTGAAAACACTTTGCAGACTTGGCTGCATGTGTGCAATGATAGGAAGCTCCTGTCACATAGTATAGTTTCCTTATGCAACTTAGCACATCTTACAGGACTCATCTCCTGAATCTGTGAGCTTGGGCCTTTCTGCTAGGCTAGTACTTTCATATTTCTCCTTCACTCTCCTTATTTAATAATCAGAAAATCCTGCAATTCATCCTCAGCTTTTTCAGTATGTTCAGCCTTTTTCTGCTACTTCCACTATCCTGAGCAACTTCTCTCTGGCCTTAACTAGACCATGGCCCTCAACACTAAATACTGTTTTCACGTTGGAGACATGTTGTCTTCCTAAAGCTGCAATCAACAAGTTTGATCACTGCTCAGCTTGGAACCTTGGCCTGAGACTAACTCCCAATACTTCAGCTAAGCTAGTCTGGTCCCAGTCTCCACTCTCTTAGCAGCTCCCCTCCAAGCTTATGTTCCTTATGCTCTAGCCTTAGGGAACTTCTGTCAGTTTCTAGGGCATGACCCACTCTTGGCTCTCTTGTCAGGTGAGGCAGTGAAGCCAAACCTCATTTGTCTCTCTTGCAGAACCTAGCTCAGTTCCTGACGCAGAGAAGGCACTTGAGACAGGTTTTTGCAATGAAGTTTTGTTTTTCTTTCAGAAAAACAAAAAGTTCTTAGGAACTTTATTCTTGTGAGTTTTTTCCAGTTTATCAAAGTCATTTGGACTAGAGCTTGTTGCTTGTTCTAATAGAACAGCACATCTTTGGCCCTCATCCCCTCTTGCTGTCTTCTGTGATTGTTTTGGGCATGTTTCCTATCTTCATTGTTGGTGAAGACGTTAAACCCAAGGTCAGTTAGCTGTGTGGTAGCCCACACTTAGACATTTAAGTATATCTTTGACCAGAAGATCACATGGAAAAACTCGTGGTCTAGTTCCCCTTTCTTCATCACATCATCTGAGAAAGTTGACTGACTGACTGGAGTTCTGTCTTCATTATCAGTGAAATGGGTACAATGATAACTTTCTGACCTACTGCTCAGTGAAGTTGTGACTATCAAATCAGAAAACAGATATAAAAAATCTGTAAAAGAATAGAGCACTATATAAATATGAGATATTGTAATTAGGAGACTATTAATTTTAAGGTGTTCTATCATTTCACTGTAAATCAGCAAAACTAACAAAAATTCTGATCCTTTAGATTGAAAGAGGAAACGTGGATGGAACAGATCGAATGATCCTGGTACACCAACTCTCCCATCCCTGGGGAATTGCAGTCTATGATTCCTTCCTTTATTATAGTGATGAACAGTATGAAGTTATTGAAAGAGTTGACAAAGCTACTGGGGCCAACAAAGTAATCTTAAGAGATAATGTTCCAAATCTGAGGGGTCTTCGAGTTTATCACAGACGCGGTAAGTATTTATCCCTGAAACCCATTCATGGATGTACGATGCGTCTACACACTTAAATCTGTGAGCACATGCCCACACACAATTTCAAGTATTTACACATGCATATAAATTGAAATTAACCCAGTATTTAAAAAATGATAGCCATGTCTTAAGCCTGGTTAAATGTCAAAGGTTATTTTGGCATCTGAAAGACCAGATTGGCTTCAGAGTAAGTTTATTCCCTTTCTTTTCCCATAAGTTTTAATTTCTTACTTTATAAAACTTCCTGATATATTATCTATTTGTTTATTGACTATGTTACTTATTAGAATATAATCTCCACTATGGCAGGCATCTTGTTATCTGTCTTGTTTACTACTATTATAATATTCAGTACAACTAGATTAGTGCCTGGCACGTAGAAGGTGCTCAGGAAATATTTGTTGAAAGACTACTGGGAAAGTGTTAACAGGAGAGCATCTTTATCTTAAAAGGAATACTTTTATTTTATTTTTCTTTTCTCTGTTTAAAGGAATACTTTGTTACCTATTTTAATATACTTTTTTCAAACTTAACCTAACTTTTGATTGCCTCTTTATTATTTAAATCCTGTATCATAAAGCTAATTTAAATTTAATTTAAGACAATTTAAATTTTAAATTTTCAATGTATTTAAATAGCTTTTAGTATCCAACCAAAGATTATCCACCAATTTGTTTCCTGTCCTATAACCTAGGTTTGTCATTTGTTTTTTTTTTTCAATTGCATGTGAAAAAAAAAACATGCAATGAAGGTTAATGTATTCATTCTCATAAAGAGTATTCTTTAAATATTAATATTTTATACACTTTAAAACAAATGTTCATCAAATTGTTGATTGTGTAATTAAACTGATATTAAGTATTCGTGCATAGGTCAAGAGGGCAATAAATGGATTGATGTGTATACTGACCTCCCTAATCCTTGCGTGATTTGTAGAAGAAAAACAATTGAAACTGCGTTTTCTAACTGTTATGCAATCGTTGGGGTACTGTTTTAATACCTTTAGGCATTATGGTATAAGCTCTGGTCTCTCTAATATTGTTTTTAGATTGTTGACTCAGCTACTATATGTTTGTTTTGTAAAAAATTATTTGGTGACCCAACTTAGAAAATTTGGGATAGAATGGTGAATAGGTAGGGTCAAAAGTTACAAATTGACTTTGATTTCATTAGATGCTGCTGGATCCTCAAATGGCTGTAGCAACAACGTGAATGCCTGTCAGCAGATTTGCCTGCCTGTACCAGGAGGATCGTTCTCCTGTGCCTGTGCCACTGGATTTAAACTCAATCCTGATCATCGGTCCTGCTCTCCATATAAATCTTTCATTGTTGTTTCGATGCTGTCTGCTATCAGAGGCTTTAGCTTGGAATTGTCAGATCATTCAGAAGCCATGGTACCAGTGGTAGGCCAAGGTATGCCAACTCCAGTTTAAGTATCATTTGACTCTATCTGGTGCCAAGTTGAGATCTCTGGTACCATAAAAGCATTTCATCATGTTTGGATTCAGTACATAATGAAGCTTGTCTTTCCCTTTAAATCAACTGGCTCAGACTAAAGTGGTTCTTATACTTCAGTGTGTGTCAGGGCTACCTGCAGTGTTTATTACAGTCTAGCTCGAGGCTCCATCTCCATATTTTTCTGACTTTGTGGTCTGGTGTAGGGCTAGAAAATCTGCATCCCTAACAAGTGCCAGGGCCATGCTGCTGCTGCTAGCCCATGGACCACACTGAGAGCCACAGGCCTAGAGTAGTATGGAATGTAGCATGGATTTCCAAGAAGTATTACACAATTGATGCTCAGAAGAATTGTGCCCTATTTCAGACTGTTAATGGAGATTTAGGGTAGAAGATACACTAGTATTTAACATAGTAATGAAACAGTCCACAAATATGATTTATTAATGTATATGATGAATTGAAGTAAGAGTTCACAGAATTAGTCTCTCTTTCATAACTTTGCAGCACTTTGCATACATACTGTGAATGTATGAAATATTAACTTGCCTCCTAGATGAACAAAGGCTTTTAGGTGCATGTTACCACAAGAGGACCTATGAGTTTTCTAGCATCACAAAGAGTATATTATAGGCTAAAGACAGAAATAGAGGTTAGAAAGGGAAGAAAGAAGGATGAATTTACTGGAAGTGGGTGGATGAGATGGTCAGAAGAGACAGAAATACATCTGGTGAAAGAAGTCTGAGAGCTTCTAGTACCACACATGCTTCTGCCTGATAATCATATTCACATGCACTCAAGGCTCTCCTTTTTTTTTATCCCCATATCTAAGAGGTTATGGACCTAGATTATCATCTTGTAAAGATATTAAAGATTTAACAGTTTTTCCTCTCAACTTTTTATTAAATAAAATGTCGAAGACAGAAAAGTTGAAGAGAGGTACAGCAAACATCCTTCTAGCCTTCACCAAGATTTAACAATTGTTAACCTCTTACCACATCTGAGTTCTCAATCTGTGTGTATGTATACGTGTACACACATATGCATACACACTCATTTTTTGTGAATCTTTTACAAAAAATTTGGGTGTCATGAAACTTTACCCCTACATACTTCAGCATGCTGCTTCAAAGGCCATTATTATGCAATATTTATATTCTTGGCTTTCTAGTTGGCTTCAGAATGTTTTATAATAACTGTGGTTTTGTTCTAGCTAAGATTCATGCATTGCATTGGGAATATCTCTTTAACCTAACTTTTAATAGTTTCTTATAACCCAGAGTAGCTGCCCTTAGTTTTTTGCTAAGTCATTGATGTTTTGAAGAGGCAGATATTTAGAATTCCATGCTGAGGATTTGTCTGAGTATTTCCTCAGATAGGAAATGGAGTCATTTAACCAGTCTTTCAGTTTTTAACCCTGCATTTCCCATAAAATGGAAGTTAGATGTAAGTGCTTGGCTAGATCAAGGTTAAATACCTTTGGCAAGAATGCTTCACAGATGATGCTGTGTATTTGGTATGGAATCTTACTAGAGAGAACATTTGAGTTTGACATTGAGTTTGATCACTTGGTGGTCACTGTGGAGTCAAACTTTGTTGGCCTTGTAAATAATATCTTCCTTCCCAAGTACCTTTTGTCCATTGGTTTTAGCAGCCATGTATGATCCTTGTCTGAAATGATTATTTAATTAGGAATTACAAAATGGTGATTTTTTTATTCTATCATTCCTTCTACATGCATTACATAGTATTCTTTTTTTCTTTTTTCCGAGTTGGAGTCTCACTCTGTCACTCAGACTGGAGTGCAGTGGCACGCTCCTGCCCACCACAGCCTCCACCTGCTGTGCTCTGGCGATCCTTCCGCCTCAGCCTTCCACGTAGCTGGAACTACAGGCGCGCGCTACCACACCTGGCTAATTTTTGATTTATTGTAGAGATGAGGTCTCACCAAGTTGTCCAGGTGGGTCTCGAACCCATGGGTTCAGGCAATCCACTCACCTCGGCCTCCCAAAGTGCGGGATTACAGGCTGAGCCACTGAGCCCGGCCTAAATAGTATTCTTCTATAAAGGAATGCTCTCCTTTCTCCCCTACAATTTATCTTTTAAAAAAATTATTATCATAATGGAATCAAGTTTTTATTAAATTTAGTGTGTTATAATTAATTACTTTAATTACTCTTTTGATGTTCTACTTCATCCATTTTGGCCAAGTAGAACCTCTTCAAGTGGCCACCTGTATACTTCTGACATAATCCCATTAGTGTTTGAGTGCCTCCTTACTTTTTGGTACAATAAGGTATTCCATGCTCACCTCGTACCTTCCCTGTTCCCTGCCCAAACTTATATCCAGTCATTTCTCAAAGGAGTAGGAGCTCCTTATGGAGGGATATGGTATTTGGAAACGAAGATTTGGGTTGTAGGTGTGCTCACTGCAACTGACAAAAAAGAGTTTTGTTTTATAGTGGGGGGATTGTTGGAACAAGGGGTTGAGAATGAGGATTTGAACAAAAGGCCAGACGTTTAAAAGTTCTACTTCCAGCAATAGTATTATCTAATGATCTTTCCTTAAATGTTCCAGGACGAAATGCCTTGCATGTGGATGTTCATGTGTCCTCTGGCTTTATTTATTGGTGTGACTTTAGCAGCTCAGTGGCATCTTATAATGCAATTCGTAGAATTAAGCCAGATGGATCTTCTTTGACAAACATCATTACATATGGGATCGGACAAAATGGAGTCCGGGGTATAGCAGTGGATTGGGTAGCAGGTATGTAAGTTGTGTGGTGGTTTTATTGTGTTTGCATCTCTGTCATCTTATTTTATGCTGGAAATTTTAGCTTTACTGTAAGTGCTACAGATTTTAATTCTAGACGTTTATTGCTATCATTTAAGATGAATTGAATTGTACTTTTAGATTGTACTATGTCTATTAAATAAATTTGCAAAGTGTTTCAGTTGCAGATTAATACGTGTTAATTATCTCATTTTCTTCTATTATTAACATAATTGAAACTGCAGACAAAAATGGCTACTTAGATTTGCACCTAATTTCTAAATTAGAAATTGTCTAAATTTCAAAGAAAAAGAGTAAAGAACATATAATATAAACCACAGACCAGCATTCATTTACTTTAATGCCAAGCAGTGTTAGTTGCCACATTCTTAATTGTTTCCTCTTAATAATGTAGACAAATCCTTTTGGTCTTTAGATACGTTCTCTTAGGAGTTATGTTGAAATATAACATTAACTTAGTTGTATTGATTCATGCACATAAGCTTGAATGACCACTCATTTTAATAATACATTGAGGTGGCCGGGCTCGGTGGCTCAGCCTGTAATCCCACGCTTTGGGAGGCCAAGGTGAGTGGATTGCATGAGCCCACGGGTTTGAGACCCGCCTGGGCAACTTGGCGAGACCTCATCTCTACAATAATTCAAAAATTAACCGGGTGTGGTAGCGAGCACCTGTAATTCCGGCTACTTGGAAGGCTGAGGTGGAAGGATGGCTGGAGCCCAGCAGGTCGAGGCTGCAGTGGCCGGGAGCGTGCCACTGCACTCGGGTCTGGGCGACAGAGTGAGACTCCAACTCAAAAAAAAAATACATTGAGGCAAATATATTTTGCAATATAATCCAATTCTGTACAAAATAAATATCATTGTGTGTTATCAAGCTTGGAAAGTAAGCATCACTTAGAAATAGTGACATGTATTATAAAAATCAAGGTACTAGAATTTGGCTTTATTATAAAAAGCGAATATGGTAGTATGGTTAAATACAACTTTAAAATGGGTTCCTAAATTCCATTCATGATTACAAACTTACTAATTCTGAGCATATAGGTAAAGTAAAGTTCAGAAAATTATGACCTGTGAGTCAATTGGAGTCCCTTGGTGTTTTTGTAAATAAAGTTCTACTGGAACACAGTTATACCCATTCATTTTATGTATTGTCTATGGCTGCTTTCATATTAGAATACAGAGCTGAATACTTGTGAAAGAAACCATATGCTGTGCAAAGCCTAAAATATTTACTATCTGGCCCTTTACTGGAGATGTTTGCCAACCCTGGATTAAAGGATTGGAAATGAACAAATATATTTTTAAAAGTTTGCCAACTCTAGATTTTATATATATATCAAGTAGAGCTAGGCAATGAAAACAATACATCAGTAGCATATTTCATATTGGTCTGATTTCTCTATAGGTGTTTTGAGTTAGATATAGAAACAAAATGTGTGTATTTTAGTAGCAGTATTGATAGTTCAATAACAGACCTTCAATTACATGGAATCAATTATTTGGGATCATTTGCTATTCATTATATTATCTTCACAATATCTTCTTTTTATTCTACCATTTACATTGTTCTAAAATACACAAAGGGAAGTAGACTTTTATTTTGGTAGCTTTTAGAAGGTCCCTGAGATAAAAACACCTACACTAGTTAGAAAGACTAGGGAAAGACTTTATGTTAATATAAAGCACAAAGAGCATTTGATAACACTGGCAGCAACCTGAGGTCCTCCTGGTACTTTCTCTTTGCTACTTTCATGATGTTGGAGTAGAAATTATGCTGTGATAATGTATATTTAGAGGTTAGACATTCAGTGCATCAGTTAGAAGAGGAAGGAAATTCTGGAAAACACACCTTTCAGTAGAAAGTGGTTTATGAGCTGGGTATGATGGCCCATTCCTGTAATCCCAGCACTTTGGGAGGTAGAGGTGAGAGGATTGCCTGAGCCCAGGGGTTGGAGACCAACCTGGGCAACTTGGTGAGGCCTCATCTCTACAATAAACCAAAAATATTAGCTGGGTGTGGTGGTGCATGCCTGTGGTTCCAGCTACTTGGAAGGTTGAGAAGGAAGGGTCACCTGAGCCCAGCAGGTCAAGGCTGCGGTATCTGTGAGCGTGCCACTGCACTCCCGCCTGGGTGACAGAGTGAGATTCTGACTCAAAAAAAAAAAAGTGGGTTATGATGTTTGCTATGCATTCTAATCTACTTTAGAAGCTAAAGACAGGCATATTCTCTCTAAATTTAAAGAAGTAATCTCTTTAGTTCCTAAGAGAAACTATTTATATTTCTAAGCCTAAACAGAGTCATTTATTATTTTCTTGGGAAAGATGACATATAGCGAGCCAAACCCCAAGCTTACATATTTTGTTCTGAATTTGAAAAGATATCCCCTTTTTTCTTTTTGCTTTTCCATTGATCAGCATACTTTTTCATTTTCTTGTAGGAAATCTTTATTTCACCAATGCCTTTGTGTCTGAAACCCTGATAGAAGTTCTACGGATCAATACCACATACCGCCGTGTTCTCCTTAAAGCAACAGTGGATATGCCTAGGCATATTGTTGTAGACCCCAAGAACAGATACCTCTTCTGGGCTGACTATGGACAGAAACCAAAGATTGAACGTTCTTTTCTTGACTGTACCAATCGAACCGTGCTTGTATCAGAGGGCATTGTCACTCCACGGGGCTTGGCAGTGGACCATAGCAATGGTTATGTTTACTGGGTTGATGATTCTTTAGATATAATAGCAAGGATTCATATCAATGGAGAGGAATCTCAAGTGATTCGTTATGGCAGTCGTTACCCAACTCCTTATGGCATCACTGTTTTTGGAAATTCTATCATATGGGTAGACAGGAATTTGAGAAAAATCTTCCAAGCTAGTAAGGAACCAGAGAACACAGAACCACCAACAGTGATACGAGACAATATCTACTGGCTAAGAGATGTGACCATCTTTGATGAGCAAGTCCAACCCCGGTCACCTTCAGAAGTCAACAACAACCCTTGCTTGGAAAATAATGGGGGGTGCTCTCATCTCTGCTTTGCTCTGCCAGGATTACACATCGCAAAATGTGCCTGTGCCTTTGGGAACCTAGAAAGTGATGGCAAGAGCTGTGCCATTTCAACAGAAAATTTCCTCATTTTTGCCTTGTCTAATTCCTTGAGAAGCTTACACTTTGACCCTGAAAACCATAGCCCACCTTTCCAAGAAATAAGTGTTGAAAGAACTGCTATAGCGCTGGACTATGACAGTGTAAGTGATAGAATCTACTTCACACAAAATTTTGACTCTGGACGTGGCCAGATTTCCTACGTGAGCCCGTCTTCAGGGATCTATACTCCGACTGTCATTACTTCAGGTAAGTGCACTCCAGGCATTGCTTATCCTAGAAGTAGACACAATGGGGTCAGCACACATGGGTGACTGAGTATTTCTAATGCATATTAAGCCTCTAACGCCTTTGTGTGTGCTTGTGTGTGTGTGTGTCTTTGCCCGTGTATGTCCAGATATAGGGCCTGCTGATGGCATTGCCTTTGACTGGATCAATAGAAGAATTTATTACAGTGACTACCTCAATCAGACAATTAATTCCATGGCTGAAGATGGGTCTAACCGCACTGTGATAGCCCGTGTTTCAAAACCAAGAGCAATTGTGTTAGATCCTTGCCAAGGGTATGCCATCGTTGTCTTTATTGTATTTTTGTCTGCTTACTTCTGGAAAGAGTGGGTCCTGAAATTATTTTATGTTCATAGAGGGCCAACATGTTTTGGGCTTATCCCTCTATGGCGTAAGGATTCAAAGGAGGGTGCAGTGCATAATTCCCTTTGATGGCAGAAAGGTTGGCAGCACACTAGGCAGTCAATGCTCTGACTCAGTAAATCCCTTGCCTAAGTTGTGTGGGTGGAAATGGAGCCAGGTTTTGCGATCTTAATGGCAATTTGCATTTGAATAATGCCACTATTTTAAAAGTATGGCTTAAGTAAGGACTCTGAGGTTCCTTGTGATGAATTCATTATGACTCCTTTTGTATGACTAGGTACCTATACTGGACTGACTGGGATACTCATGCCAAAATTGAGAGAGCCACATTGGGAGGAAGCTTCCGGGTACCCATTGTGAACAGCAGCCTTGTCTGGCCCAATGGGCTGACACTGGACTATGAGGAGGAACTTCTCTACTGGGCAGATGCTAGTCTGTATGTGTCTTTGGCTACTCATGTGGATGCTGATAAGTTTTTTCTCCCAATTTCAAAGAAAAGGAATTTGTGTCATGTGATGGAAATATAATATACCAGATAGATGTTGCCAAAATGTAGAATCACAGTTATAGGAATTATATTTGTATTCTAATTTGGTGAATATACCTGTGAAAATTTATCTATATCATGCATTAAATAATTGTGAACTAAAAGAAATCTAAAGATGCATTACTAAATACATCTGTAATTTCAATTATAATTACAAATGTATTTACCCAATTTATAATGACAAATGGAATTACTTAATTTATAATCTGGAATCCTTGGGTAGCTTACCATAAAATATGACTGTGTTTTAAATGCATGTTTTTTTTTCTGAGCTTTAGCACTCATTGTATTTTAAAATATGCTTTTCTTTAGTCTTTGACTTTTGGTCATCTTTTCAAACAGGCCCTTTACTCTCTGGCAAGCTTCTTCTTAGCAAATTTCTTAATATTTTTCTTTTGTTCACTCAAATTGTAAATGCAACTTCTCTAAGTACCCCCAAATGTCTCACATTCCAGTTATCCTAATGGAATAATTGAAGGGATGAAATGATTTTTATTATGACTGGTATCTATAGTGTTAGGGATCTTAACTTTTCTTTCTTATTTTCTCATAATTTTGGTTTTGTGATGCCAAGCACTTAATATCCTGGTCTTTTCTTTATTCTCTTATTTGAAACAAAGCAATGATGATGTCTAAATTTAGGGCATTCTTAGTAAACACCTTTACTAAGAATTCAATAAACATCAAATAAAAAAAGGCATTAAGAGAGTGGGAAGGAAAGTAATTAACATTTTTTTTTTTCATTAATCAGTATTTTTTATTATGGTTTTGTGGGGTACAGTTAAGGGTTAGGTGTACAATGACGTTTCATTCAGGCACCCTGTAGATAAGAAGTGTTTTCCCATCCCCCGACAGATATTTGCTACTGTTAATCCCATCCCCCTCCCCCCCATAGTTTCGCAGTACCATCCGTCATTTTCTCATAGTATTGCATTGGATGTTCAAGGTCCATTATATGAGTGAGAACATGTGATATTCGGATTTTTGTTTTTGTGAGAGGTCACTCAGTATTATAGACTCTAGTTCCATCCAGGTTGCAGCGAAATTCATGATTTTGTTCTTTTTTATGGCTGTGTAGTATTCCATCGTGTATATGTACCACATTTTTTAATCCAGTCCTCTTTTGATGGGCAGCATGGTTGTTTCCAGGTTCTTGCTATTGTGAACAATGCTGCGATAAACATACGTGTGCAGGTATCTTTTTTATAGAGAGATTTGTGTTCTTCAGGGTATATTCCCAGTAGGGGGATTGCAGGGTCATATGGAAGGTCAATTTTTAGAGCTTTTAGGAATCGCCACACTGCTTTCCACAGAGGTTGCACTAGTTTACACTCCCACCAACAGTGTAGAAGTGTTCCCTTTTCACCACACCCTCTCCAGCAGCTGTTATTTTTTGAGTTGTTGATAATTGCCATTCTGACTGGAGTTAGGTGGTTTTCTCAGTGTGGTTTTGATTTGCATCTCCCTGATGATTAGTGAGGTTGAGCATTTCTTCATGTGTTTGTTGGCTGCTCGAATGTCTTCTTTTGTGAAGTGTCTGTTCATGTCTTTTGCCCATTTTATAATGGGGGAGTTTGTTTTCTTCTTTTCAGTACGTTC